ACAGTTTGATGATGGTGTGTCTTGGTGTACAATCTCTTTGATTTTGTCCTACTTGGAGTTCACTGAGCTTTTTGGATATGTAGGTTCATTTTTTTAAAAATACATTTTATTGAAATATAATTTGTGTACAGTGAAATACACAAAACTAAAGTGACATGGGTCAGTGCTTTTTTTTTTTTTTCAGTGTCCCCTCTCCTCCCCTCCCACCCCTGGCAACCAACAAAGAAAGTTTCCCCTCATATATAAATCTTTCCTTGACCTTCCACAACAATGAACTAATTCTATGTTTGTCCTGTGATTGATTTATTTCACTCAGCATAATATCCTTCAAGTTCATCCATATTTTGTGGTGTTTTGCAGACTCTACATTATTCTTTAGTGCTACATAACATTCCATTGTGTGTATGTATCATAGTTTGGTCACCCATTCTTCCGCTGATGGGCACATAGGTTGTTTCCATCTTTTTGCTTTTGTAAATAGTCTGTGATGAATATGGGTATGCATATATCTGTTCCTGTCCTTGCTCTCACCTCTCTAGGATATATACCTAATAATGGGATTGCTGGGTCAAATGGTATCTCCAATTCCAGCTTTTCTGAGGAATCACCGTACTGCTTTCCACAGTGGTTGTATCAACTCACAGTCCCACCAGCAGTGTATGAGAGTCCCAATCTCTCCACATCCCTGCCAGCATTTCTTATTTTCTGTCTCATTGAACCTTGCCATCTGTGCTGGGGTGAGACAGTATCTTCTTGTTTTGATTGCATCTGTCTGATGGCCAGTGATCATGAGCATCTCTTCATATATTAGAATATATCTGAATATCCTCCTTGGTGAAGTGTCTATTCATGTCTTCTGCCAATTTCTCAATTGGATTGTTAATTCCTTTGCTGTTGAGGCATAGGTTCATTTTTTGATGAAATATGGGACATTTTAGGTCATTATTTCTGCAAATATTTTTTTCTGTTGCCTTCTCTCTTTCCTCTCCTTCTAGTACTCCCCTTGTGTATATGTTGATAATGTTCAATGTTGTCCTACATGTCTGTGAGGCTCTGTTCATTTTTCTTCACTCTTTTTCTTTCTGTCCCTCAGGCTGAATAATCTCAATTTACCAATCATCATTTTCATTCATTCATTCTTCTTGTAGGCCACATATGCTGTTGAGTCCTTCTTGTGAGTTTTCAGTTGAGTTATTGTACTTTTCAACTCCAGAATTTCTTTTTTTTCCCCTACTGTGGTCAAATGTATGTAACAAAAACTTGCCATCACCATTTTTACAATTCACTTAATTCATTAATTACATTCATTATGTTATAACACCATCATCCTTATCCATTTTCAAATTTTTTTTTTATCACTCTCAACAAACTCAGTACCCTTTAAGCAGTAAGTAACTCCCCATTTCTTTCTCTCTCCAGCTCTTGATAACTACAAATAGACTTTTGTCTCTATTTGCCTGTTCTAAATATTTATATAAGTGGAATTGTATCATATTTGTCCTTTTGTATTTGACTCATTCATACAGCATGTTTTCAAGATTCATCCATGTCATAGCATGCATCATAACTTCATTTCTGTTAATAGCTGAATAATATTCCATTTTGTCAATATACCAGCTTTCTTTTGTTCAGTCATTTGTTGACGAACAGTTAAGATTGTTTCCACATTTTCACTGTTCTGAATAGTGCTGCAGTGAGCACTGGTACACAGGTATCTATTTGAGTGTCCACTTTGAAGTCTTTTGAGCATATACTTAGGAGTGGAATTGCTGGATCATATGTTACTTTTGCTTTTTGAATTACCACCACTTGTTTTCCTCAGCAGCTGCACCATTTTACATTCTCATCAGTAATTGAAGAGAGTTCTGATTTCTCCATATCCTTGCCAGCACTTTTTCTGTTTTTCTTAAAACAAATAGCCATCCTAGTAGGTATGAAGTAGTATCTCATTGTGATTTGGATTTGCATTTTCCTGATGACTAATGCCAAGAAAGGATCTCTGGTGGTTAAAGCATTGGGCTGCTGCTAATCAAAAGGTTGGTGGTTTGAACCTGCCAGCTGCTCTGTGGGAGAAAGATGAGGCAGTCTGCTTCCATAAAGATTTACAGCCTTAGAAACCCTATGAGGCAGTTCTACTCTGTCCTTAGGGTCACTATGAGTCAGAATTGACTTGATGACAACTTTTTAATGACAAAGAGCTCTGGTGGTGTATTGGTGAAAGCATTTGCCTACTAACCATAAAGTCAGTGGTTTCATGATCCAATTAGAGAGATACAAGTCAAAACAACCAATGAGATATCATCTCACCCCAGCAATAATAGCTAAGTTCACCAGGACAAAAGACAACAATGCTGGCAAGGTTGTGGAGAGATTGAAACTCACACTGCTGGTGGGAGTATAAAATGGTACAACCACTGTGGAAAACAGTATACCCACTGCCGTGGAGTGGGATTTGACTCATAGCGACCCTTCCTTGGGTTTCTGAGGCAGTATTACTACAGAAGTAGATTGCCCAACCTTCCTTCCAAGGAGCGGCTGGAGGGCTTGCACCGCCAGCCTTCTGGTTAGCATTCAAATGCCTTAGGCACTATGCTACCAGAACTATAGCACTTCTTTAAAATGTTGGAAATAGAAATAAAATTTTATCCAGCATCCTGCTATTAGAAATATATCTTACAGAGGTGATATCCAGGACATGAATAAAAGCAAGATTGGGCAATCTGTCTACTTCCATAGTGCTTTGCCTCGGAAACCCAAGAAGGGGTCGCTATGAGTTGGATCTGACTCGATGACAGTGAGTGAATGAAACTCATTTCAGCACTGTTGAGTATAGCAAAAAGACAGAAACATCTAAGTGCCCATCACACAACAGATGAATGGATAACCAATTTGGGTTATTGTCGTTGAGTGCCATCAAATCAGTTTGGACTCATAGTGCCCCATAGTATGACAAATCAGAACTGCCCCATAAGGTTTTCTTAGGTATAATCTTTATGGAAGCAGATCACCAGGCCTTTGTTCTGTAAAGCTGCTTCTTTACAGAAGCTGGTTCTTTCCAGTTCAGTCATGGCCAATGAGGCAAAACCAGAACAGACTCAAATTTGTAAAATGTGAGTATACTGGAATGATAACCAGAACTGGAAGAAGTACAGGTCCATGCCCTGCTAGAAACTTAACCTTTGTCTTAGATAACAAGGACAGCGTGTCTGTTGCAGAACAAACAAATCTCCTGACTGGCTGAGTTGGAAGCAGCAGTGCTTTTACCCAATCACGGTGCTTTGAATGTGTGTCACTCTCCATAGTCCTGACAAAAAACAACTCTCCAATATCAGGTTCCTGAAATGGTCACTGTGCGTCTTCCTAGTCTCCCATTCTGTTTTAGTTCTCTATTGCCTAAGGCACTTGACTGCTAATCAGAAGGCTGGCAGTTCAAACCCACGAGCTGCTCCTCGGAACGAAGATGGGGCGATCTACTTCCATAGTGATACTGCCTCAGAAAACCAAGGAGGGGTCGCTATGAGTCGGGTCCGACTCCACGGCACATAACAACAACAACAAGTGCCACTCTAACAGAAGATACCACAAATGGGTGGCTTAAACAGACAGGGATTTATTATCTTACAATTTAGGTAAGACGTCTTAAACAATTTAGGGTAGACATCCAAGTTCAAAGTGCCAGCTCTAGGGGCTGTGTGAAAACCCCTCCACCCTGGGCTTCAGCTCTGCCTCTTGTTTCCAGCCCACTGAAGCTAGAGGTTTTTCTTAACTCAGGCAGCTGCTGGCTGCTGAAGCTGACAAACCCAAAGTCAACAAATAAAATGGCACAGTCCCAAGATTATCAAACTACATGGCAGGCCACTAGTTCAAGTCCAGAGACAGTCCCAAGATTGACAGGAAACATGACAGGCTGCTGAATGAAGATTCAGCTACATGCAGGGTCCAAGCATGCCAAAAAGCTGCAGAGACCTTTCTCAATACTTCTTACATACTGGAAGCAGACCACATCCTTAGGGCAGCTAATCAGCTGCTCCAGTAGATTCCACCATGGAGTTACTTACCAGTCTCATTGTGGGGAATAACTATATCCAGCTGCCCAGCCACTCAAAACCAGGCCCAGCTAAGTTGACACATAACCTTAACTACCACACTTTCCAAAGCTTTGACCCATAGCTTTTCCTGTTCCAGTTATCATTCCACTATACCCACATATTACAGTTTTGAATATTATGATTTTGCTGCATTGGCCATGACTGACCTGGTTCAAACTGGTTCTAAGCCTTGGTTCAAACTTTGGTTGGCAGCCAAGTGCTTAACCATTTGTGTAACCAGGCGTTCCCTCCTCTTTTACTATGTAATTATTAAAACAAATCAATGAAATAGGTGAAAAAAGAAAAGATGACGTTTTAGTATCTTTACTGTTGCTAAATTAGGCATTTTTTCAAAGCCCATAGATATTGCTGTGAAAAACACTATAAACCAAACTAAACCCATTGCCATCAAGTTGATTCTGAGTCATAGCGACCCTATAGGGCAGAGTAGAACTGCACCATAGGGTTTCCAGGGCTGTACATCTTTATGGAGTGGCTGGTAGGTTCAAATTCTCGACCTTTTGGTTAGCAGCTGAGCGCTTAACTACTGTGTCACCAGGGCTCCTGATAAACTACCCACTGCCCTCAAGTTGATTCTGACATATATCTATTAGGACAGACTAGAACTACTCCGTAGGATTTCCAAGGCTGTAAATCTTTACAGAAGTATACTGTCACTTCTTTCTCCCATGGAGCAGTTGGTTGATTTGAACCACTTACCTTTTGGTTAGCAGCCAAGCACTTTAACCACTGTACCATTGGACCTCTTGATAAACACTAGAGTAATCAGTAACTAGTAATTTAATCATTCTCTTTCTTTATTAAACTACAAGTCTATTTTTCTTAGTTGCCCTTCAGCTTTGTAAGATTTCTTTTTTTCCTTTATTTCTATACTACCTGTTTAAACAATAGGTTCTCCCTGCTCTGAGGAAGCTGGAGCCCTTAGGAGACATAAGGTATACACATTTTGTATCCAGTTGGTGGAATCAGGGGATTTGCAGAAAGAAGTAGCATCTGAGATCATAGGATTATTGATGCTGGAGGTAAGAAAGAAGGGAAAAATTTGGGGGAGTAGATTTTTTGGGGTTTATAATTTGTTAAGGGAATAAAAAGTACATGTGCAAAACCTGGCATATTTCCTGTTATGAGCAACAGCTCTTGTTTAAAAACAAAAACTTGATGGATGGACCATATACCACCTAGATGTTTACATTAAGATTTCTAGTATCATAGACATGTATTTCTCTGAAGGGTTAGCATATTTGAGATATTAATGTATAGTAATGGAGGATTATGACCTTTGAAGTCTTCTACAATTATTAATATATACCAAAAAAATGATTCCATGAATCCCTTAAATGGCTAGTTCTGGGTTTCAGCATCAATTCAGCAAAAGAGTTTATTTCTTGGGAAGAGATATCAGGCATCTGAATTTCTGCTTAATATTTTATTCATGAACTTTTAGGCTCATAATTTTCCAGGACCATTATTGGCTGAATTAGCCAATGAGTTTATTAATGCTATCAGAGAGGGCAGCCTAGTGAATGGAAAATCTTTGGAGTTACTACCTGTTATTCTCACTGCCCTTGGTACCAAAAAGGAAAATCTGACTTATGGAAAAGGTAATTTTCTTATCATTTTCATGGTTCTTTCCCTGTTCACTTTAATCAGATCTGTTTCTCAGTTTGTTTTGCATTTCTAGGTGAACTGAGTGGGGAAGAGTGTAGGAAGCAGTTGATTAACACTCTCTGTTCTGGCAGGTGAGTCTTATTAATGTAGAGAACTTTCTCGGGACCATGAGTGGCCAAAAATAGAGCTACCATTTATTTCTGGAATTTATATCTCAAGATTTCAGTCTATTTTATTGTTTGTAATGCACCACTGTAAGGCCTTTTAGTCTATGATGAATTTTTGAGAAAGAGGGGATTTACTCTGTTCTCTGCTTTAAGACTTAGAATTTTTATTTACTTGATTTTCCATCTTGACAAAGCAATTTAGACCTTTAAGCATTATTTGGAATCCCATCATCCTTAACTTCCTCCAGGAAAGTCATCCTGCTACAACATCTATATATCTTTATATATAGATTATGTATACACAAAATATATTAAAATTTATTTTTTATTTTATTGTCCTTTTGATGTAGATTTACCGAGCAGAATTTTTTTAAAATTCAACATTTAGTGTACATTTGGTTTCACTCCTCAGTTACCATCACCAACCCTAACCCACTCTTCTCCTCTCCCTTCCCAGTAAACCACCCTCCGTGCCCTTCTTAGTTATGTACTCCTGTGTGTACTGCCTTTCCTCTGTGTGAATGTTGCCCCTTTGTTGCCCCATGGCCGACTGCTCCAAGGGATGTATCTCTGTAGAGTATGTGAGTGCATCACCCTGAATTGAATGGTCTACGTGTATGTCTTATTTATTATTAGGCTGAGAGCCAGCCCTTGGGAGTGAGTTTTATCCCAGGCCTGAAGTGTATCCCAGGACCATAGTTTTGGGGGTGCCACCAGATTCCATCCTACCAGTAGTTCTGGTCATTATTGTGTTTCTGGATTTTGTTCCATGTTTTTCCTCCCACTCTATCCAGAATCTCCAGTTTTGATCCCTTTCTGAGTGGTTGGCATTGGTAGCCGGGCACCATCTAGTTCTTCGGTCTCAAGGTCCATCATGTTCTAGGGCTGATTGTTTCCAAATGCTCTTGGTTTTTTGCACTCTTCTTCGCTTCCGATGATAGGAGACCATTAGCTCCATCTTAGATGGCCACTTGAAAGCTTTTAAGACCCCAGTCACTACCCACCAATGTAATTTGTGGAACAAGATTTTTATGTATTTTGTTGTGCCAGTTGAGTCTGGTGTCCCCCAATACTATGGTCCTGAGTCAGCAGATCTGTTGAATCTGTCTCCCACCATGTCTGGCTGTCTATGAGGGATTGCTGTATGGCAGAAATGCAAGTGGTTTTTGTCTCCTTTAACCAGTAATTGAATTCTTGGGAAACTACCCAAAGAAAATAAAGAAAAGCTTCATACATGAACGTGTTCTACACAGAAATTTGTAAGCAACTTAAGCATACAATAATTGTTGTTGTTGTTGTTGTTTGCTGTCGAGTCGGCCCCGACTCATAGCGACCCCATATAAATTATAGTATGTCATCTTTGAAAGTTAAGGTAGAGCCACTCCATGAAATTTATAGCCATTAAAAATGGTATGTATAAAGAAATACATAGAAGATGAAACGTTCTTATATAATCAGTGAAATAAGAGAATATGTTTCAAACCCACCAGCCACTCCTTGGAAGGAAGGTTGGGCAGTCTACTTCCATAGTGATGCTGCCTCAGAAACCCAAGGAGGGGTCACTATGAGTCGTGTCCGACTCAACGGCACATAATAACAACAACAATAACAACATGGTTATCATACTTGGATATATTAAAAAGAGCCAGAAAGGAATACCCGGGATTATCTAAACCAGAGATTAACTCTGTTTATGGTTTTTGAGATTTCTTCCATAAATAATTTTAGGTGTGTATTAGCATGTGTATATTTATCCATTTATTTGTTTTTAATTCACATTGCAGTATATTTTCTGCTTTTTAATTTAACACATCTGTTCCTATCAGCATATAAAACTATAATATTCTTTTTAGTGCTCTGTAATAGTCTGTTATATTATTTGGATAATCTTCAGTTGTTGGATTCTTTGGTGGTTTCCAATTTTTGCTGTTGCAAAATATATTGCAATGAACATCCTTACGTGTTTGGGTGACTTTGTACAAACATGTTCATGGGATATATTTCTGCTAGTGAGTTGGGTGGGCCTGTGATTATGTGCCTTTTTAAAGTTAATAAATATTACTAGCTTGTCTTCCCAGAAGGGTTATGTTAGTGTACACTCCCTATAATAGTATGTGAAGAGAAGAACATTTGTTTCCCTGTAATCTCCCTAACATTGGATATCATCAGACTTGTTTTGCCAGTCTGATAGGTAAAAACTATCATTGTTTATAACTATTTCATTGTTATAAATGGCTCTTTTATTGTGTGTCCCACTGATGCAAAATCAATGGCCCATATTTTTTTTTCAGCTTACTGATTTTACAGAGTAATATTTAAGTAAATGAAAATGAAATAGACTTTCATATTCTTTGTCATTTTCTTAAACCAGATGGGATCAGCAGTATGTGATCCAACTCACTTCTATGTTCAAGTAAGCATCATCATTTCTTTTTCACTTTATATCTGGCTTTGTGAGCTTACCTGTTAGAAATTGAAACAGAACGAGCTAAACACCACTCTTCCACGAGTAAGAGTATTGCTGCCTTGTTTTCTGCTACGGGCTTTCCTCCTCTTTTTGGCTTTAATTATTTAAATTATAGCTTTATGATTTATTTCCATGATCACTTTCTTTAGGTAAGGTTATTGGTCTCCCTTAAAAGAATCTTTGTTAGAAATCAAAAGAGACAGTTTTAGTATACTAATATCTCTTATTCTCTATGCCCAAATTTTATTTCTTTAAAAAATTTTAATGAAATTTCAACCACTGTGAATCCCAAATTGTACTTCTAAAAACAAAAATCCCTGGTAGTGCAGTGGTTAAAGCATTTGACTCCTAACCAGAAGGTCAGAAGTTCAAAGCCACCAGCTACTCCATGGGAGAAAGATGAGGCAGTCTGTTTTCATAAAGATTTACAGCCTTGGAAACCCTATGGGGCAGTTCTACTCTGTCCTGTAGGGTCGCTGTGAGTCAGAATGGACTTGACAGCAAAGGCTCTGGGTTTTTGTAGCCTTTAGAATCTTTGATCCACAGGGATGTCCCTCTGACAGCAGAAGAGGTGGAATTTGTGATGGAAAAAGTGTTGAAGATGTTCTCCAAATTGAATCTTCAAGAAATACCACCTTTGGTCTATCAGCTCCTGGTTCTCTCCTCAAAGGTATAACTAAAAAATTATTTTTATTTAACTGTAGTGGAATGACCAGTTAGGGCCATTCAGTTTACTCATACTTTTGATATATATACTACAGTATAGATGCTTTCATTTTATGTATGGTGAGTTGATCTAATAAAAAGGTCATGCACCTTAGCCAAGGAAAATAAACATTTTCTCTTGAGCTACCATACTTTGTTGTGGTTGTTGTTGTTAGGTGCCATCGAGTTGGCTCTTACTCATATTGGCCCTTTGTATAGCAGAATGAAACACTGCCCAGCCCTACACCAGCCTCACAATCCTTGCTATACCTGACCTCAGCAGTGTAGTCACTGTGTCAAGCCACCTTGTTGAGAGTCTTCCCCTTTTTTGCTGACCCTCCACTTCACCAAGCATAATATTCTTCTCCAGGGAATGGTCCCTTCTGACAACGTGACCAAAGAGGGTGAGGCAAAGTCTGGCCATTCTTGCTTCCAAGGAGCCTTCTGGCTGCACTTCTTCCAGGACAGATTTGTTTAATCTTTTGACAGTCTGTGGTACTTTCAGCATTCTTCACCAACACCACAACTCAAAAGTATCAACTCCTCCTTGGTCTTCTTATTAATTGTCCAGCTTTCACACGCATATGAGGCAATTGAAAAAAACCATGGCTTGGGTTAGGCACACCTTACTCTTCAAAGAGACATCTTTACCCTTCACTTTAAAGAGGAGGTTTTTTTTATTTTGGTTTTGCAGCACATTTGCCCAGTCCAATACGAGGTCTGATTTCTTGTCTACTGCTTCCATTGGTGTTCCATTGTGGAACCAAGTAATAATGAAATCTTTGACAATCTTTTCTCCATTTATTGTGATGCTGCTTATAGATCCAGTTGTGAGGATTTTTATTTTCTTTATGTTGAGGTGTAATCCATACTGCAGACTGTAGTCTTTAATCCTCATCAGTAAGGGCTTCTAATCATCTTCACTTTCAGCAAGTGGTAATAAAAGGAATAAAGATCTCAGAAAAGGGGGAATATAGGCCCCTTGAAGTCTAACACTAAGATATTTTAAACCCAGTTTCAACATGAAAGTGTTCTATACATTCTTAGTGTAACTTTAGGTAATGGCTGTTTATCTATTTAAATTTGTACTTGAGAATCCTCTAAGGTAAAAATACTTTAAATTCAACTTGGTTATCTTGCCTTTGTTGGGGAAACCTTAACCTATTTTTATTTTTTCTCAGGGAAGCAGAAAAAGGGTTTTGGAAGGAATCATAGCCTTCTTCAATGAGCTAGACAAGCAGCAAAATGAAGAACAAAGTGGTGATGAGTGAGTAATGTAGTGTAGAAATACAGATCGTCTTTACAAATTCATCTTACCATTACATGTAGTTACTTAATTGTTATCTTCCTTTTTATCCCCTACTTTCGCTTCATCACAGAGTTTCCCTCATTATTTCCTCACTGCTCAGGTATAAAGTTAATATTAGTGGTGTAACCTCTTTAGCATTTTCATTTGCACCAATCCAGGTAAATAGCAACTGTAAGTTGCAAGTTTAAAAGCTATTTATTAAGTGTCTACTCTGTGCCAGAAACTATTTAGACTTGGGGAAACAATGAGGAACCCATCAGACAAGGTCCCTGCTCTCAACGGAGCTTAAATTTTAGTGTGAAGAAAACAGAAAACTAAACAAGTAAAGAAAAATATTACAGTGGAACGAGCTATGCAGATAATTTAAATGGGTGCTGTGATACTGACAGCATAGTTATGTAGATTGGGTAGTCAGGAGAAACTTCTCTGGGAAGATGCTATTTTAACTGAGACTATAAATAGAGAAGAGAACATTCCAGGTTAGGGGAATAGCTAGTATAAAGACAGGACACAAGCATGACATATCTGAGAAACAAAAAGGCCACATATAATAGGAGAGAGTGTGGTAATCCAAGACACAAACAGAGATATAGGTAGGGCCAGATCACCTCGGACTTTATAAATCATGTTAAAGAGTTTGAACTTTATTGCTAGTCAGATGGAAAGCCAATGGAAGTCTTTAAACAATCTAGTGAAATCTGATCCATGTTTAAAGGTTATTTCTTCTGTTGTGTGGCCAGTGGATTGGGAGGGGGGAGGCAAAAGTAAGAGAGAGAGACCAGTTACGAGGATGTTATAATAATCTAAGTAATAGATGAGGATGACTTGAATTAGGTTGGCAGTAAGAAGATGGAGAGAAGTGGGTAATTTGAAGTATCTTTTAGAGATAGAGACAACAGGATTTGTTGATAAAGTGGAAATAGGGAGTGGGGCTAATAAAAGCAAAAGAAGAATTAAGATTTTTTAAAAAAGCATTTCTTAAGGTGTTTACTCATGCCAGGTGCTATCCTAAGCACTTTAAACCTGACAGCAACCCAGTTTTGCCTCTCTCGTATGTATGGATGAGTAAACCAAGTCACAAAGAAGTTAAGGAATTTCCCAAGGTTATACAGCCAGTTTGAATCCAGGCAAACTTTGGCTGAAGAGTCCATGGTACCCTAGTGCACTCTACTGCTCCTAATCTAGAATGACTCCTAATTAGTTGACTTGAGCAATTAAGAAGGTGGTCCTATATAATGAGTTAGGAAAGGCTGAGAGAATAGCAGAGTTTTGGGGAAAATAATAAGCTCAGTTTTGACCACATTAAGTTTGAGATGTATATTTGCATCCCATATGGCAGTGTTGAGTAGGCAGTCTAGAGTTGTAGGGAGAGAGATTTAAAGTCATGTGATCCGATGAGGATGCCTAGGGAGAGTGGAGAGAAGAGAAAGGCGCCAAAGACTGAGTTCAGGGACATTGCAGCATTTAAAGGTCAAGTGACGGAAGAGGACAAGCCATCCAAAAAAATGAGAAGAGGCCAACAACAAACCCCTGGAAGGCAAAATAAGAAAATATTTCAAGAAAGAAGTGGTAACTTGTATCAAATCTGCTGAGATGTTAATTAAAATAGGACTCGATTGTGGAGGTTATTTGTGACCCTTACAAGAACAGTGTTTGTGGTATGAAGGTTCGAGAGAACAGATTCTGGTTGAATTGGATTTGACTGGGAAGAAAATATGAGGTAAAGAAATAGAAACAATGACTATAGAGTATCTACTTCCTGCCTTCAGTGATTGTGTGAGTTCAGCTTGAGTTGGTCCACTTGTTCTTCTGAGCACCCACACTGTTGTTTCTTGCTCAAACTATAGCTCATATCTTTCTGTTGAATTATTTAGGCTGTTGGATCTTATTACCGTGCCATCAGGTGAACTTCGTCATGTGGAAGGCACCATTATTCTGCACATTGTATTTGCCATCAAACTGGACCGAGACCTAGGCAGGGAACTCCTGAAACACTTAAAGGTAGCTCCAAATTCTTAATGTGATCCAGCATCTTTTTGTGAAACATAGGAATGTTTGAACTGTAGCCTTTCATATGCCAAGTAATGACTGGAGTGGGACTATTCAGCAGGAAACTCGAATTCTGCTCTTATCTCTGCTACTATCAATGGGGCCTTGAACGTTGACCCCCATTTCCCGATTAATGGATTGGGGATATTGTCTATTTCTAGTAGTATATCTTGAGGTTTTGTGAGGTTAAGCTATTCCTCACTGAATATTTCTAAAGTAGTTAAATAAAAATCAGAAGTATTTTGAATACTTTTAAAGAAGTACTTGTAAAGAAAAGTAGTATAGAGATAAAGGACCTATTTTTCCCTCTAACTTTTTATTTTGAAATTTTTAACCCACAGAAAAGTTAAAACACAAGCATAATGAATACCTATATACCCTTTACCTAGATTCATCAATTACTAACACTGTCACATTTGAGGAGCTCTGGTGGCATAGTGCCTAAAGCATTTGTCTGCTAACCAGAAGGCTGGCGGTTCAAACCCACCAGATGCTCCTCAGAAGGAAGACTGAGCAATCTTATCTCACCTTCTTTCACATACACTTTTTTTTCCCCACATACATTTTTTTTCCCTAAAAGTAAGTTACAGAAATCATGACATTACAACTCCTGAATTATGTCAATATAAATCTCCTAAAAATAAGAATGTACTACCACAATGCTATTGTCACCCCTAGAAAAATGAACAGTAATTCCATAATACCAGCTAATTGATAGTCTATACTCAAATTTTCCCAGTTGTTCACAAAATGTCTCTTATAGCTCTTTTTTCTCCTGGGCCAGGATCTAATCAGACTTAGTGCATTATATTTGGTTGTTCTCTCTCACTAGTATCTTTCAGTTAGTTTGAGTTAGTTTTTTTTTTCCATTGAATTGTTTGAAGAGTCTAGTCCAGTTGTTTTTGAAATGTCCACATTTTGTTTGAGGCTCAGAGTGACCCAGATTTGGCCAATTGAATCTTTCAAGTTGGCTTATGTGTGCTTTTGGCATGACCTCATTTGTCTTTGAGCACATTTATGGCATAAGATATCTAAGATTCACCTTATGCTTTTCTTGTCCCATGCTGATATCAGCCATTTCTCCAAAGAGACCTGGATCCCTTTTGTGAGAGAGTATTTAAAGACCATGATCTGAAAGCTCCTTTGTCTTCTCGGTATCTGTCCATTCTTCTTTCTCCTTAGCCTCATAGTAACTATTTTATTGGTCTTTTTAGCGAACCAGCTTTGGATTATTTTTATCTGCTCTACTATTTTCTTTTTGTTTGTTGGTTTCCTTTTTCATTAATTTTGAAATTTTATATTTATTGCTTTATTAATTTTTTTGGTACTCTGGTATCTTCTCCTCTAGGCCTCAAGGTCCTGTTTTTTAAATTTGTTTATGTTATAATTTACATATCAAAAACACCTGTTTTAAGTGTACAAGTCCGTAATTTTTCATAAGTTTACCTACTTATGCAACCATTACCATGATCCAATTTTAGAACATTTCTTCACTCTGTAGTATCTCTCATTCCCATATAAGTTAATCTCTATTTCCACCCCCAGGCCCAAGCAACCACTAATCTATTTTCTGTCTCTAGATTTACCTTTTCTAGACATTTCATGGGAGGTCTGGTGGCATAGTGCCTAAGGCACTTGATTGCTAACCAGAAGGCTAGCTGTTTAAACCCACCAGCCACTCCTTGGAAGGAAGGTTGGGCAATCTACTTCCGTAGTGATACTGCCTTGGAAACCCAAGGAGGGGTTGCTGTGAGTCGGATCCGACTTGACAACAAACAACAACAGCAACAGACATTTCATATAAATGGAATTATACAAGTAGTCTTTTGTGTATGGCTTTTTTCATGATGTTTTTTTGAGAGACTCAGCTATGTTGTGGCATATTGTATTTCCTTCTTTTTTTATTGGCAAATAAATATAAATATTATAATAATAATAAATATTATAATAATAAATAATAAATATTCTGTTGTATGGATATATCAGTTTATTTAGGTATTCACCAGTTGTTGGATATTTGTGTTGTTACTGCTTTTTGGCGGTAATGAATAATGCTGCTATGAATATTTGCATGCAGGTGTTTGTGTGGACATAATTTTTATTTCTCTCGGGTAGATACTGTAGGCCATGTGTAATTTATGTTTAAATTTTTAAGAAACTGCCCAACTTTTCCAAAGTGGCTATATCATTTTATATTTCCACCAGCAATTTATGAGGGTTCTTGTTTCTCCATATCCTTGTTCACATTAGTTATTGTCTCTTCTTTTTTCTTTTCTTTTTTATTCATTCCAACAAAAAGAAAACCAAACCACTGCCATTGAGTTGATTCCAACTCATAGCAACCTATAGGGTTTCCAAGGCTGTAATCTTTGCAGGAGCAAACTGCTATATCTTTCTCCTGCAGAGGTGCTGGTAGGTTCAAACCATAGACCTTTTAATTGTCAGCCAAGCACTTCAATCACTGTGCTACAAAGGTTCTGAGATCCATTCTAGTTGTTGTGAAATGGTGTCTCACGAGATTTAATTTGCATTTCTTGAATGGCCAATGATAATTAAACATTATTTCTTTGAACATCTTTGGTGAAATGATCTATTAAAATCATTTGCCCATTTTTGATTGCATTGTTTGTCTCTTTGAATTGAATTGTAATAATTTTTTTATATCTTCTGGATACAAATAATTTATTAGGTATGTAATTAGCAAATATTTCTTCCTAGTCTGTGCCTTTTTTTTTTCTCTTTCTTTCCATAATGGTATTTTCTGAAGGACAAATATTTTAAATTTTGATAAAGTCTAATTTACCAATTTTTTTTCTTATGGGTTGTGTTTTTGGTGTTAAATCTAAGAAATCTTTGCCTACCCTAAGGTCTTGGAGATTTTCTGCTATATTTTCTTCTAAAAGTTTTATGAATTTAGCTCTTACATTTATGTCTCTGATCTATTCTCCAGTAGGCTCTATTATACTTTTAAAATTTAAGTAATAGTTTTCTGTTTTATCTACCTTAGACAGGACAGCAAGGAGATCCCAATAAGAACTTATGTCCCTTCACCACTGCTCTCCTGCTCTCTGTAACAAGAATACAAAGATTTGAGGAACAGGTATTTATTAATTATTTTTTGGTTCTTTTCGTAGTTGTTAAAAAGGAGTATAAGAGCCTATTTTTGTTATTATCCTTTCCTAAACAATTCTGCCCTGTCCTACCAAATTCTTGTAAACTGTGTAGTCCCTCATTGTTCTGAGAGCTGCTGAGAGACTTCTTCAGGTACTTGATTTATACTTCCATTTCCTACTGTGTCAGCCAGGTGATGTGTGAATAAGAGCAGAAACACATCACACAGCCCAGGTACCAAGAATGGAAGTTTAATGGGTATGTACCAACAAATAACAAAGTTTATCTGGATAAAACTGTAACAGTTTCATTATGTTGTAGCTGTTCAAAAAATTGTCCCTCATCAAGTTGAAATTAATTAATGAGAATAGGTTAGTTGAAAGTTTAAAAATAAAAAACTTTTGCCTTTTTTTCTCATACGTGTTTTTTGGTTGTGGATGATATTTTAGCCCTTTTCTCTTTTAAGGAAGGCCTATACACAGATGGTTAAACTACAATAGAGTGAATTGTCATTTTCATTTCATTTTTCTGTTTCTTTATTTACCTTAGGTGTTTGACTTTTTAAAGACTTCAGTTGTGAAGAACTTTAAGGACCTTCAGCTCCTCCAAGGCTCAAAATTTCTTCAGAATCTAGTCCCTCCTAAATCTTGTGTTTCGGCCATGATTCTTGAAGTGGTAAAGAATAGGTGAGTTGGTGAACCATACACCTATAAATTTGTATGGTATTTACTGTTAGAAAGTACAGTTTGGTACCAAATTTATGGCCTGTTATGGATTGAATTATGTTTCCCAAAAAATATGTGTTGTAAATCCTAACCTCGCTGCCTGTAGTTACCATCCCATTTGGGAATGGGTTGGTTTTTTTATGTTAATGAGACAGGATTGGTGTAGGGTATGTTTTGTGTCAATCTCTTTTGAGATACAAGAGATTAGGAAAGCAAGCATGCAGAGAGATGGGAGAAGAAAGATATCAAGGCACATGAAGTGCCCTGGAATAGAATCTCCGAGAGACAAGGACCTTCCTCCAGAGCTGATGGAGAAAGTCTTCCCGTAGAGCTGGCACCCTGAATTAAGGTTTCTAGCCTCCTAAACTGTGAGAAAATAAATTTCTTGTGGTATTTCTGTATAGCAGCACTAGATAACCAAGACAGAATTTGGTATCAGAAGAGCAAGGTACTGCTCTAACGTTACCAAAAACGTAGAAGCAGTTTTGGATTTGGGTAATGGGTGGAAGGTGAGCTCTGGTAGTGTAGTGCCTACGGCATATGACTGCTAACCAGAAGGCTGGGGGTTCAAACCCACCAGCCACTCCTTGGAAGGAAGGTTGGGCAATCTACTTCTGTAGTGATACTGCCTTGGAAACCCAAGGCGGGGTTGCTATGAGTCAGATCTGACTCGATGGCAGTGAGTTTGGTTTTTTGAAATGGGTGGAAGCTGGAAGAGTTTTAAGGTATATAGTAGTAAAAACCTTAAAAAAAAAAAAAAAAAATTAACACGATTAAACAAGAAGAAAAGAAGCTAAAATAGTAAAAGCCTAGATTGCCCTGAAAAGACTGTTGGTAGAATTATGGACATCAAAGGCAATCCTCGTGAAGGCTTAAAAAGAAGTAAGGAGAGCTATAGAGAAAGTCTCTATCGTAAAGAATATGTGTGGCACCGGCAGCAGAATGTTGCTAGAAATGTGGATGTTAAATATGCTTCTGGTGAGGCTTTAAAAGAAACTGATGAACATGCAGTTGGACAATGGAAGAAGGGTAATGTGTTTTAAGCACTGGCAAAGAACTTGTCTCAATTTTGTTCAGATGTTTGGTGGAAGGTAGAAATTGTAAGTAATGAATTTGGATATCTGGTTGTGGAGATTTCTAAGCAAGATCTTAAATGGTTTCTCCTTGCTGCTTACATTAAAATGTGAGAGGAAAGAGATGGATTTAAAGATGAACTGTGCAAAATGAAATTAAAACTTAAAGATATGGAAAATTCTCTTGTACAAACTAATGACCCGTATCCTAGAATATTCCATGAGGGATGTGGCTGCACAGTCTTTTGTTAAAGATATTAAGCCTGTAACTGAAAATTATATGGAACAAAGAAATCAGCAATACCACAAGAAACACATAACCAAATGACAGCAATAAATTCATACTTGTTGATAATTACACTGAATATAAATGGATTAAATGCACCAATCAAGAGACAAGAAAGTTGCAGAACAGATGGGAAAACATGACCCAGCAATATGCTGTCTACAAGAGACACACCTCAGACACACAGACAGAAGTAGACTAACAGTCAAAAGTTGGAGGGAAAAAAAAGCAAATGGCATTCAAAAACAGGAGTGGCAGTATTAATTTCTGATAAAATAGACCTTAAGACAAAAAGCATAAGAAACAAGGAAGGACATTATATGATGATTAAAAGATCAATTGAACAAGAGGACATAACCATAATAAATATCTACACACCCAGTGAAAGAGCCCCAAAATATATAAATCAAACTTTAGCAGAATTGAAACAAGAAATAGATGACTCCACAGTAGTAGTGGGAGACTTTAATATGCTACTTTCTTCAATGAAAAATAGAACAACCAGAAAGAAACTCATCAGCAAAAAGAAAAACTAAACAATACAATCAACTTGACCTTATAGACATATAGAGAACACTTTATCCCACAATAGGACAATATATGTTCTTTTCCAGAGCACATGAAACATTTTCCAGAATAGACCATATGTTAGGCCACAAAACCAGCCTCAATAAATTTTAAAACATAGAAATACGGCAAAATATCTTCTCAGATTAAATACTATAAAATTAAAAATCAGTTGCTTTAAATTGACCTCTGAATACTGCTTTCATTGTGTCCCAAAGGTTTTAATATGTTGTATTTTCATTCTTGGGTACAGTAGGGAGATTAAGGAAAAGAAATGAACATGTGGAGACTGAATAATACTCTTTTTTTGAAAAAATTACTGGGTAATAGAAGAAATAAATTTAAAACTTCCTTGAATCAGATGAGAATGAAAACACAACATACCAGAATCTTTGGGAACAACACAAGCAGTGATCAGAGGGCATTTTATAGCAATAAATACACACATCAAAAAAGAGAAGAAAGAGTCTTTTGGGTTTTCTATGTAGAGTATCATGTCATCTGCAAATAGAGATAGTTTTACTTCTTCTTTGCCAGTTTGTATGGATGCCTTTTCTTTCTCTTTCTTGCCTCATTTCCCTGGCTAAGACTTGCAATGGAATATTGAATAGCAATGATAGAGGGCATCCTTGTCCGGTTCCTGTTTGCAAAGGGAATGCTTTGAGTTTCTCACCATTGAGAATAATGTTGGCTGATGGTTTTGGCTATATCCTCTTTATTATGTTGAAGTATTTCCCTTCTATTTCTATTTTGCTGACGTTTTTTATCAGGAATGAGTACTGGATTTTATTAAATGCCTTTTCTGTATCAACTGATACAATCATGTTCTTTTCCTTTGTTTTATTGATGTGATTTTCTAATGTTGAACCATCCTTGCGTTGTTGTTATTTGTTGTTATTTGCCGTCGAGTCGCCCCCGACTCATAGCGACCCCTCCTTGGGTTTCCGAGGCAGTATCACTACGGAAGTAGGATTGCCCAACCTTCCTTCCGAGGAGTGGCTGGTGGGTTTGAACCGCCAGCCTTCTGGTTAGCAGTCAAGTGCTTTAGCCACTATGAATCCCACTTGGTCATGGTGTATTAATTTTTGATACAGTATTGGCTAGAATTTTGTTGAAGATTTTTGCATCTGTATTCATGAGGGATATTGGTCTGTAGTTTTCCTTTTTACTGCTTTATTTGCCTGGTTTTGTTATCAGGGTTATGCTTGCTTCATAGACTGAATTTGGGAGTATGCCATCCTTTTCTATGTTCTGGAACAGCTTGAGTAAGATAGGTGTCACCTCTTTTCTGAACACTTGATAGAATCCTCCAGTGAAGCCATCTGGGCCAGGACTTTTTGTGTGTGTGTGTGAGTAGTGATTTTTATGATCTGCTCAAATTCTTCCTTTGTTAGGGATCTGTTCAAATTTTCTACCTCAGTCTGTGCTAGCTTAGGTAGATCTTGTGTTTCTAGAAATTTGTCCATTTCTTCTAGGTTTTTTAATTTGTTTGGAGTACAGTTCTTCATAGTATTCTGTTATTATCCTTTTTGTTTTGGTTGGTTCTGTTGTGGTGTCACCCATTTCATTTCCTATTTGTGATTTGCCAGTGGTTTGTCAATTTTGTTAATCTTTTCAAAGAACCAGCTTCTAGTCTTACTGATGTTTTCTATTGCTTTTCTCTTTTCTCCCTCATTTATTTCTGAATTGATCTTTATTATTTTCTTTATTCTGGAAACTAAAGACTTCTTTTGTTACTTTTTTTCTAATTGTTGGAGTTATTGGATTAAGATACTGATTTGGGTTCTTTCTTCTTTTATGGTGTGTGCATTAATTGCTTTAAATTGACCTCTGAATACTGCTTTGTGTCCCAAAGGTTTTAATGTTGTATTTTCATTCTTGTTTGTTTCTAAAAAGAAAATTATTTTATTTCACACTTTATTTCTTCTGTCCAGTGGTTCTTAAGCAGTGTGTTGTTCTGTTTTCATGTATTTGACCTTTTTCCCCTGTGGTCTTCCTGTTGTTGATTTTAGATTGATAATAAATCCTAAATAATTTGTACACAATAGTTATTTTTTTCATTACATTAATTATTCTTTATAGCACACATAAGAAACTTGGAAAATAAAACTTTCAAAGCAAAGAAATTTATCTGCAGTGATATTTTAGGCTTAAGTCTAAATTTAAAAGAAAAAGAATGGCTCATGATAGTTTAAATTTTTTTTCTTTTTTTTTTTTTTTGGCATCAGTTCAGAGGGAATAAGTTAGACACAAAAGAGCAAATACTGTATGAACCCACTTATATAAAGTATATGTTGTTGTTATTGTTATGTGCTGTCAAGTTGGCCCCAATGCATAGCGATCCCTCCTTGGGTTTCTGAGGCAGTAACACTATGGAAGTAGATTGCCCAACCTTCCTTAGAAGAGGCAATTTCAAAAAAAAAAAGAAAAAGCCAAAATCAACACCTTAACCCAACATGTCCAACAATTAGAAAAAGAGGAGCAAAAAAGCTATACTCACCAAAACAAAGGAAATAATGAAGATTTGAGCAGAAATAAATGAAACAGAAAAACAATCAAAAGAATCGTTAAAACTAGAAATTGATTCTGTGAAAAGATTAATAAAATGGACAAACCATTGGCAATTTAAAAGGAAAAGTTGCAGATAATATGAATAAGAAATGAGATGGGTGGCATCACAACAGAACCAACCAAAATAAAAAGGATAATATCAGGATACTATGAAAAACTATACTCCAGCAAATTTGAAAACCTAGAAGAAATAGGTAGATTTCTAGAACACACTTCTTACTTAAACTAACACACTGAGGTAGAAAATTTGAACAGACCTATAACAAAAGGAGAAGATGAACAGGTCATAAAAAACTACCAACAACAACAAAAAAGTCCTGGCCTTGATGGCTTCACTAGAGAAGTCTATCAGTCATTTGGAGGAGAGCTGACATCAGTCCTCCACAAACTATTCCAGAACATAGAAAAGAAGGATTAAGTATTCCCAAATTCATTTTATGAAGCAAACATAACCCTGATACCAA